TTCTGGTAATGAGTTAGAGGAAAATATAAAGGAAAGTTATTATAATGATAAAAAATATAAAGAAAAAGGAGTGGTTTATGAAAATAACAGGTTCCAGTGAAAGATTGACCGGGATGCTTCATTAGCGAAGGAAATTTTGCCAACTAGACTTTATGACCTTGACGAAGTAAAAATAAAAGAGACAAGCAGTATTAAAGAAGTGAAAAATTATGCTATTGTTTCCTATGTTTGGGGTTCTAGCGAATTATCAGAATCTTCATAATGCTGATATTGCATAGTTGGTGCTATATCTAAAACTTGCCCCAAAACCTCTTCCTTAGCATTTTCTATTTCCTTTCATACTCGGTCAGGACTGAAATAAAAATCATCTGAATCAGCAAGCTTCTTCGCCACATAATCGCCAAAACTTTCGCCCTTTACTTTCTTAAACTTTTCACTAAACCTAACGAATTTAGTTCCCAATTCTTCTTTTATCCTTTTAATGTATTCAGGCAATTCCTTTTTAAGAACATGAGTATAAAGCATATAAAGTTCGGCGTTTTTAGATCCATAATAATTAACATCTTTAAAGCGAGAAAAAGTAGAATTTTTTTCTTTTAAATTATCGAAGAGTTTCTCAGCCTCATTAGCTTTTCTGTTATTGTATTCCTCTCAGGCTCACCGACTGTTAGAAATTTCTTGGTACTCTCCAATTTTAACATCAAGCAATTCCTTTTTCAACTTTGCCATCTCTGTTAGTAATTTCGTTAATATTTTCTTTATTTCTTCTTCTACATTATTTGTCATTTCTGCCGTCAGTTCTTTCTTTATTTCCGTCTCTGCGTTTTCTCTATCTTTCCCATTTAGTCTATCATTTAAGTTTTCAACAATTAGGTTAATCCTGTCTAACTCCATAGGCTTAAATTTTCTATCATTACTTTCCCATAGTTTATAAAAATCATAGAAATCATTTTTTAGTTCTTTAAATAGTTTGTTTTTTATTTCTTTTTCACACTGATACGCTTCTCGAAAAGGACTACTTAAAAATTTTTGAAATTTTTGCAACCTCTCGTGTTTCAAAATAGATTCTAAAGCTGTTTGACCATATAAAACTTGTTTACGAACTTCTTTCAAACTTTCTAACCCTGCTTTTTGTTCAACTTCTTTCACATTTAAAGTAATTTCATTTTCTAAACTATCAGCACTAATTTCCTCATCATTAGCTTCTTCCGCTCCATCTCCTTTTTTTTCATTATTAGAATCAGAAGAGATACACTTTTTACACCATTCTTCGTAGACAACTGCTCGAGTTGAAGGTTGCTCTCGTCGCAGTTGACAATTTTTGCACTTAGGGAGTTTTATAACAATCTGATCGGGATCATCAGAGTTGATAATTATGAAAATTGCCTTATCCATAAAACCTAAACTATTCCTAATTCTTTCTAAATCATTTTCCAATTTTACTTTCTGCTGTTCATCTTTGATTTTACTTAAAGTTCTTTCTATTTTTTTTGCTTCCTCTTTTTCTCTCTCTATTTCTCTTGATAGCATTCATTCCTGACCTTTTTCTTTAGCAAAATCAATTGTTCTCTCAGCAATACCACTCAAAATTTCACTATAAAACTCAGACTCTTTTTCTCTATACTTTTTTAAATCAAGACTTAATCTAACCAAATTTTTAAAATGCCTCTTGAAATATTCCACTTTTTTCTCTATTTCTTCCCTAAAGAAAAATTTATCACAGCAATCATCTATATTTAAAAAAAGTAGTTTTTCTGGGTAAGGTAATCTATCAAGAAAACTGAGGTCATCCAATAAGTTATAAGAACAATTTAACTTAACTATTTTTGAACATTTACTAATATCTAAGTTGGTTAGTTCATTATAAGAACAATCTAATTCTTCTAAGTTAACAAAATCAGAAAGGCTTAAACTTTCATCTAATTCCTTGTTGCTAATATCTAACTTTGTTATATCGCTTCTTTT